CTCAGTCGAAAAGAAATTAAGGTTTTTGATGAAATTTTTCCAGGATTTTTCTCCATTTAATGCACTTCAATGGGAACCAGACGGTCCAAGGTCCAAAAGACAGTTAATAACTGTTTCAGATGCAGCTTCAAATGTCTTTAAACGACACCAGATGATGAATAAGGGTCTTATCATGCGAAACGATCGGTTATTTCAAAGCTTATTCCAAAAATGTAACTTTTCTAAGGACAAATGCTAGCCTTGCTCTATTCTGTGAGGCGCGTTTGTAACGTCACGTAATTCGTAATTACCTTCAAAAGGTCACGGGCGACGTAGCCGGAATTACAGAGTGTTTACAAGTTGAACGCATAGGTTGAACGTGCAAACTAACTCAAAACGCCGTTTACAAAAAAAAAGGAATTAAAAGGTAAAACAACGATGTCGGACGATTTTGATTCTGTACTTCCGGCTACGTCCCCCATGACCTTTTGAACGTAATTACGTATTACAGACATTACAAACGCGCCTCACAGAATAGAGCAAGGCTAGCATTTGTCCTTAGAAAAGTTACATTTTTTTTTACAGTTACAGTTTTGAAATAACCGATCGTTTCGCATGATAAGACCCTTATTCATAATCTGGTGTCGTTTAAAGACATTTGAAGCTGCATCTGAAACTGTTATTAACTGTCTTTTGGACCTTGGACTGTCTGGTTCCCATTGAAGTCCATTATATGGAGAAAAATCCTGAAATGTTTTCATCAAAAACCTTAATTTCTTTTCGACTGAGGAAAGAAAGACATGGACATCTTGGATGACATGGGGGTGAGTAAATTATCAGCAAATGTTTTTTCAAAAGTGAACTAATCCTTTAAGCGCCAGGTCTTTATTTAATAGTGAACTAAGTAAATGCTCTGCTATTTAACTGGAGACGTTTTATTTTTTTGTATTAGGTTCATCTGTGCTATGTTTCTAAAACTGGTGGGGAACAATATCAGTCCTGAGAAAATGGGGTGAGGACATGTCCCATCCGTCACCAGTGTTGGGAGTAACGCATCACAAAAGTAATACATTACAGTAACATATTACTTTTTGCTGTAACGCAGTAGTGTATGGCATTACTAATCAATTTTCAGTAATATTTTACTCGTTACATGTTCAGTGAGGCTTCTATTACAGTTGTATTACAGTGTATTGTCTGCTTTTACTTCTTAAAGGCAACAGACTATGTGAAAATTTTAAAGCAGTCTTTTAGTGCCAGTTCAGAGCGGTCGCATCTGTAACATTGTTTTTTCCTCATAAATGCGAACACGAAAACTAAAATAAAATCAAAATACATTTGATTTGGTGCGTTTCTTTTCTTTTAAATTGTATGCCTACTGCAGTCCATCAAATAGGAAAAAGTAAACTATACATTTATGTACTGTGAATCGCTTTTTGAATGGAATCTTGAGCCTAAAAACTGATATTGAATCAAATCATGACACTTTCTGAATCATGCACCCCTACTTAATATTCAACAATATTATTGACTTTACTGCACTGATACCATTATATGAGACAGTTCAAAATTTTGTGGCAAGTTAAAGGCCTTTAACTATAATACTAAAACTGCCTCCTCCTTGTGTCTTTTTGACACAACATATTTAATGATTTAGATTAAGCTGCGATTACTTAAACTTAAAGGAGAACTCCGGCGAACAATGAACCTTTGGTCTAATAAAACATCGGTACATAGTCAACCGTTCTCTGAGATTTGTTTTCAGGATAATCGAATGTAAAGAGTTTTATCTCTAAAAACAGTTTAGCATATAATGCTAGTAATGGGGGCATTGACTAAGTAAAAATAAATCGCTGTTTTATACCACTAACAAGGCTCAAAATAGCCCTACACAAACGCAGTAACATAATGAGGCTCCATACATGCAAAACGAAGCATTGAGAACTTTGTAAGTGTACAGACCGTTTAATAAGAAGATACTTTATGAAGACAGTTCACTTCGTGTATACAGACAGGAGCCATCTTAAAAAATAGTCTCGATAAGTCAAACCACGAACGTCGTGCTGAGTGATCTGAACTGTATGAAGTTCAGCGGACTTCTGAACTGTATGAGCGGCGTTCGGAGATCGACTTATCGAGACTATTTTTTAAGATGGCTCCTGTCTGTATACACGAAGTGAACTGTCTTCATAAAGTTTCTTCTTATTAAACGGTCTGTACACTTACAAAGTTCTCAATGCTTCGTTTTGCATGTATGGAGCCTCATTATGTTACTGCGTTTGTGTGGTGCTATTTTGAGCCTTGTTAGTGGTATAAAATAGCGATTTCTTTTTACTTACTCAATGCCCCCATTACTAGCATTATACGCTAAACAGTTTTTAGAGATAAAACTCTTTACATTCGATTATCCTGAAAACAAATCTCAGAGAACGGTTGACTATGTACCGATGTTTTATTAGACCAAAGGTTCATTGTTCGCCGGAGTTCTCCTTTAAGAAATTGTATTTGTACAATGATGAAATTGTACATCACCAATGGCTGATGCCAATATATTAGAGAGCAGGGTGGCCAATGCAGATGGTCCTCACTGCAGAACATGAAATCCTTACATATACAGTAAACCAACCTACCCATCTCCGCCCCCTGATCCCGAATGTGGTAATATATTATGTACTTTATTTAAGTTTATAAAAATCTATAACTTTTTATACTATAACTTTTCAGAATTTCATTTTACTTTTTGGAAATATAAAAAACAACTGTACCAAATTACATTCTACCCCCCACTTTGGGTATATGAATAAAATATATATTTTTTTTTTCTTCCTCAAGTATGATTATGTGATAACATATATACAGTGGGTACGGAAAGTATTCAGACCCCCTTAAATTTTTCACTCTTTGTTATTTTGCAGCCATTTGCTAAAATCATTTAAGTTTGTTTTTTTCCCTCATTATTGTACACACAGCATCCCATATTGACAGAAAAACACAGAATTGTTGACATGTTTGCACATTTATTAAAAAAAGAAAAACTGAAATATCACATGGTCCTAAGTATTCAGACCCTTTGCTGTGACACTCATATATTTAACTCAGGTGCTGTCTATTTCTTCTGATCATCCTTGAGATGGTTCTACAAAAAAAATTCTGCTGCACTAAAGGTTCGTAAGAGCACAGTGGCCTCCATAATCCTTAAATGGAAGACGTTTTGGACGACCAGAACCCTTCCTAGAGCTGGCCGTCCGGCCAAACTGAGCTTTCGGGGGAGAAGAGCCTTGGTGAGAGAGGTAAAGAATAACCCAAAGATCATTGTGGCTGAGCTCTAGAGATGCAGTCGGGAGATGAGAGAAATTTGTAATAAAGGCTGGTTCACACGGCAGGATTATTAGCCCGATTTTAGCCCCGATCACCGAGCGAGGTGATGAGGCATAGAGGAAGCACCGGCGGGAAACAAAATCAAAACATCCGGCGCCCGGCGGTATAGCGCACCAGAATGTCCGGTGGACGTTTTTTTTTTCGTTAAAAACAAACTACATACTAGCGCCACTGCATCCTCTTCATCCACCAGGATTGTTTACTCTGAAGTCACGTTTGATCTCGAGGGATTTTGCGAGATTTTCCGTCTGACCTAGGAATGCTCGGGAGTCAAATCGGTTCGTGTGTGATGTGTTGATTTTGCCGTGTGGCTGCGCACCACACACGGTACGACCAAAACTGTTAGACCCATGATTTTTTTATCGCTGTGTGTGGGGTCTCTTTTAGGTTTGGAAAATCGGCCGACAATTTTAAAATCATCCCGTGTGAACCAGCCTTAAGTCAACCATCATTGCAACAATCCACCAGTCGGGGCTTTATGGCAGAGTGGCCCGACGGAAGCCTCTCCTCAGTCAAAGTTTGCTAAAAAACACCTGAAGGACTCCAAAATGGTGATAAATAAGATCCTCTGGTCTGATGAGACTAAGATAGAAATTTTTGGCCTTAATTCTAAGTGGTATGTGTGGAGAAAACCAGGCACTGCTCATCACCTGTCCAATACAGTCGCAACAGTGAAGCATGGTGGTGGCAGCATCATGCTGTGGGGGTGTTTTTGGACGACTGGTTGCAATCGAGGGAAAGATGAATGCGGCCAAGTACAGGGATATCCTGGACGAAAACCTTTTCCAGAGTGCTCTGGACCTCAGACTGGGCCGAAGGTTCACCTTCCAACAAGACAATGACCCTAAGCACACCGCTAAAATAACGAAAGAGTGGCTTCACAACAACTCCGTGGCTGTTCTTGAATGGCCCAGCCAGAGCCCTGACTTAAACCCAATTGAGCATCTCTGGAGAGACCTGAAAATGGCTGTCCACCATCGTTTACCATCCAACCTGACAGAACTGGAGAGGATCTGCAAGGTGGAATGGCAGAGGATACCCAAATCCAGTTGTGAAAAAACTTGTTGTATCTTTCCCAAAAAGACTCTTGGCTGTATTAGATCAAAAGGGTGCTTCGACTAAATGAGCAACTGGTAAACTGAGCAAAGGGTCTGAATACTTAGGAGGACCATATGATATTTCAGTTTTTCTTTTTTAATAACTGTGCAAAAATGTCAACAGTTCTGTGTTTTTCTGTCAATACTTAAATGAATTTAGCAAATGGCTGCAATATAACAAAGAGTGAACAATTTAAGGGGGTCTGAATACTTTCTGTACCCACTGTATATAAATAATTCTATATAAGTCATTCGGGTCTGGTGTATCATATGATACAAAACAAACGCACAAACATTTTTACATGGTATTTTATATTTTGTCTTAAGTTGTGATGAACTTTCTCCACACACACACACACACGCACGCACGCACGCACGCACGCACGCACGCACGCACACACACACACACACACACACACACACACACACACACAAAGCTTTACAGGTATAGCTTCATGTTTATGATGGGAAATCACTATAGAATAAAGTAGATAAATGCATTTTTCAGATGAGAGCTAAACATGACAAAATATATAAAGGACTTACAGGGCTCTTCTGGAGGTTTTGATGACTGCCGATAATCTAATGAGACACTCGTCTGATTTCTTGAATTTCTGAAGCTCAAACTCCTCCAGCTCTTCCTCTGATGTCAACAACACAAAGGCTAAAGCAGACCACTGGGCAGGTGAAAGGTCACCAGTTGAGAGACTTCCTTTGCTAAGGTGGGTCTGAATCTCGTTCACCAGAGTTTGGTCGTTCAGTTCATTCAGACAGTAGAACAGATTGATGGATCTCTCTGCAGGAAGATTAGCTTCTAATTTCTGCTTGATGTACTGAACTATTTCCTTGTTGCTCTGGTTAGTGTCATCTTGCTGTGTCAACAGACCTCGTAAGAGTCGTCGAACTTTCCCCTTGTTGCTCTGGTCAGTGTCGTCTCGCTGTGTCAACAGACCTCGTAAGAGTCGTCGATTGGACTGGAGTGACAGACCGAGGAGGAAGCGAAGGAAAAGGTCCAGGTGTCCATTGTCACTCTCCAGCGCCTTATCCACAGCAGTCTTGAGAAAATCAATCATGGATTCATTTCTGTTTTCCTGTTCTGTAGACTCATGATCAAACACACTTGTCTTGTTGATGTCTAGAAACAGATGTGCATAAAGGGCTGCAATAAACTCTTGAATGCTCAAATGAACAAAGCAGTACATGGTACCAAGAACGATCCCTGTTTCCTTCTTAAAGATCTGGGTACACATGCCTGAGTACACTGATGCCTTATAGACGTCAAGACCACAGGCTTCCAGGTCTGTGTCATAGAAGATCAGGTTGTTTCTTTCCAGATGATGAAATGCCAGTTTCCCCAGTGAAAGGATGGCGTCTTTATCCCAGGAAACATCTGGTGTGTATTCTCCATCATATTTCCGGCGGCTCTGCTGGATCTGAAAGCGGAGAAAGTGTGTGTACATTTGTGTCAGAGTCTTGGGAGTGTCTTCAGTGTTTGATTCCTGCAGTGTTTTAGAGATCTCATCAGCCTGAGTGTTTCTTACATCATTATTTCTCTTCTCCTCCAGAATGTTCTGGAGAACAGTGGCTGAAATCCAGCAGAAGACTGGGATGTGGCACATGATAAAGAGACTCTTTGATTGTTTAACATGATCTATGATTGTGTTGGCTTGAATATCATCCTTGAATCTTTTTTTGAAGTACTCTTGCTTTTGTGCGTCGCTGAATCCTCGTATCTCTGTCAGCCGGTCGATACAGTCAGGAGGAATCTTACTGGCCGCTGCTGGTCTGCTGGTGATCCAGACGAGAGCAGAAGGAAGCAGATTTCCCTTCATGAGGTTCGTTAGGAGAACATCCAGAGAGGCTGGTGACGATACATCACGCCACGTCTCATTACAATCAAACTTCAGAGGAAGGCGACATTCGTCCAATCCATCAAGGATGAACAGCACTTTGAACTGATTCCTTCTTGTGAGGTTCAGTCCTTTTGTCTCTGGGAAAAACTGAGTTATGAGGTCCATCAAACTTAGTTTTTCTTTCTCCTTTAAGTTGATCTCTCTGAATGGAAGAGGAAATATGAAGCTGATATCTTGATTTTCTTTTCCTTCAGCCCAGTCCAGAACAAACTTTTGCACAGAGACTGATTTCCCGATGCCAGCGACTCCTTTTGTCAGTACAGTTCGGATCTCCTCGTCTTGTTCAGGCGCTTCAAACAAATGTGTGCATTTAACCTGTATCTCTTGTGCTTCATGACGTCTGGAAGCAACTTCAATCTGTCTCACCTCATGTTCAGTATTGACCTGTTCACTGCCACCCTGAGTGATGTAGAGATCTGTGTAGATGTTATTCAGGAGTGTGGAGTCACCTTGCTTCGCCATTCCTTCAAACACACATTGATACTTCTTCTTTAGGCCACATTTCAGCTGATGAATGAAGAACAGCTCACCTAAACACAGGAACAGAAAATAGATGAAGAGCTCTTTTCCAAAACGCTATAAATCCATTTCAATAGTTTTCAGGAAAACTACATTTTTTACCTAGACCCAAACATTTTGTGAATATTGAAATTATCCTGTTTAAATGTTTTATTGGTTCAGTCTGAACATTTTGAACAATAATTATTAAATCAAACAACAATATTGTTAATTATAATTTAAAAGTTAATTTTATTTTTTTCCAAAACGCTATAAATCCATCCATTTTTTTGTATCATTTTTTAGTAAAGTCATTTTTAGTAAAGTGTCAAACCTCAAACAAATAGTACCAATTTCAACATATGCATGAAAAAAACAAATTATTAAAAATTATCAATTTATGATAACGACATTCAAAAAAGGGATGGGCACCCCTCCAGCACATGCACACACACACATACATAACATGTGAGCAAAGCGGAGCAGCATGACGCTTAAATATAAGTAAAAAAAACAAAAAACAAAATAAACAGGCTACGTCTTACATTTGTGTTTAATAATATTACATTACTTATTTTTATTATTTCATCTATGTTGAGTAGGCTATGAAAAGGGAACCGCATGAGATGAGTAAGATAGGATCAAAAAAATTCAAAAGCTGCCCAATATCGGAAAATATTTGGAGTGCGTCAGACATGATTTTGACCACTTATTAAGTTTTGTTTTGTAGAAAGCTTGTAAATTTCGTTTCATATAAATTGTATCTTCATTTTAATAAATGTTTCATTGACAAATTGACTGGATTAATACATTAGAAGTAAATATCAGACAATATATTCAGGACACAGAGGCGCACAGGTGAACCGGAGCGCGTCTCAACCGAAACACCGCGATGCTTGCCTCACACAGACCTGAGAACTAAGCTACAGAAAGCTTTAAATGTCTACTTTTAAACAAAACAATTAAAAACTAAAATAAATTTGCAACTCTCTGCGTATGTAGGCTAATTCGAAGTATGCGTTTCTATGCGCGTTCACTGCGAAGATGGCGAGTAAGCATCATCAACTTTATCTTTGCTGCTGACACTGACAGAAAACACTAGTTTATTAATAAACAATTCAAATGTTTCATGCATAATCATTACTTTTGCCGGTTCTTTGTGGCAAGCTTTATGCATACGTTGAGATGCGGAATAGGCAATTAAAAATGCTCATACGGTTTCTCTCCCATTTAATTAAATCAATATGTGATTACTGATAATACAAATGGCTTAAACGATCTACTACTAGTTGACTAGAAAACTAGGACTCATTTTGAGGAATGAATGAACATAATAAACCTCTGTTCAGAGTGCCGCTGTGCTGGATTGTGTAGAACGCTCATTGAATTTGAGGATTTATAGCATTTAGGCTAAAAACAGGGCTGGCGCTTATCGTGGTTTGGAAAGAAACTGTATCTTGCAGTACATTTTAAACAAGGAAATATAGCGATTTGGCATGAAACGTTGATGGAGCAGTGAAAGGGTTATGTCCACAGCAGAATGACACGACAAACTCATTTTTTTTTTAAAACGGTGTTTATCGCGTTTTGGAAAAGAGCTCTTCAGATAGTTTTAGTCTTCATTTTCTCTCCTACATTTATAAGAGACAATCAGATAAATGATCACGAGTCTCTTGCCTTCTAGAGCATCAGCAGCTTCATCTTGCTTCATCTCTCTCAGGTAATGTAGTGTGAGATCAAGAGCTGCTGATTTGATACTGGATCTGTTCTCATTAAAGTCCTTCACAAAGTGTTGTGTGTTCTTCTCATGTTGTAAAATTTTCTTTAACTTCTCCAGCTCATTCTTCAGAAATGCGATTATTTTGCTCTCAAGATCCTACAAGGAAAAGCAAGAGAAAAGACAGAATTACACAATTTAAGCCAAATTGTACATCTGTTTTTGGTCAACACTATTATTCAATAATTATAATAAATGTACATAAAAATCCAGTTAAAAGAATAACATGCTGACCAAGATGAGCTAAAATGTGTTTATAAGGAAAAAAGGAGATTGGAAATTGATTGGAGAAAGGAAAATTGGTAACACTTTATTTTACGGTGTCCGTGATATAGTGTAATTACTTAATTACTTAGTTGTAGACATTGTAATAACATGTAACAAAATGTAATTAATTTATGGAACAGCCTGTACTTACAGATTGTAATTACACTTATGTAATGGGCAGCTATTGTTACACTTAACAGGCTGAGTCGGTTACATATGTGTTACAGACTTGGTACAATGTAACAAGTACTTAAATATGTTACTATGGTTAAAAGCCTGCAGTTACACATGGTCATTACCTTTTAAAAAAAAGTGTATCAAGATTGCAGTGATGTTTTCGTCAGTGATGACGATAACGAAATGATTACGTTAACGCACCGTTTTTTTATGACGATAACGCAACGATGACTAGCTAAAAACAGCTCTGAGGTGACTAAAACATGACGAGATGTTTTCGAGTTCTCGTTGACGAGACGAGACGGAACGAAAATGATTATAAGTCTGACATTCACAATGCATGTAATTTATGCCTGTTTTGCGTGAAATCGGTCTGTATGGAGAGCTAAAAATACGTATCAGCAATGCTGCCGTTTCCAATCGCATGCGCCCAGCACCGGCCGCCGCGCACGCACCAGATTCCACACAACAACAACACAGGGTTTAATGGTAATTTTTGTACCAAGTCAAGTCAATAGAGTCGGACAAAAACTAGGATAAAACCTGTTGGAAAGCATATGTTGCAGCGATGTTTGTGTGAGCATATCAGTGAACATCCCTGACCACTCGGTGAGTTTGACGTCTTTGTAAACAAATGTTTAATGCGTTTTATGAATGATTGTGTGGGTCCTAACACACAAACCTAAAATTCTCGGGACAACAGCATTTGTCCAAATTTCAATCTTAACCGTTCTATTTCATCAGAAACGATGTTAAAACAGGGCTTTAAGTGTAAAATACCGAACTAACCAAGACCAAATACAGTGTTTAATCAGGGATGGTGTTATTCATTTTTATGTTCAACACACTCCAAGGGTCATGTTTGTTTCATACTTTATATTCAAGTATGCATTCTTTGTTCAATGCACCTCAGTATTAGATATTTATTTTATTATTTTGTTTCAGAATGTTTGTAACTTTGCAGTTTGCAACCTTGCACTTTGCACAAGTTGTATACATAATGTTTGTGTTTACAAATAACATGCATCTTCAGTGTTTCCTCTACATTCATTCTCCCGTGGCGGGCCGCCACACTTAAAATCCTCCCGCCACGGCTGCAGCTTCTCAGTGACGTCCGATATTCTGCATAGTATTATGTTATTTTGTTAAGCCCCACTAAAGGCATAAAAAACTTTGTAAAGCACAATCAAGTTTTCACCCTATATTCCAAGACTTCTAAAGTCATTGTATAATGTGTAATTTTAGTCGCTAAGTTAAAGTTAATGGAAAGTCATCTCGCCTCAGTCATTCTTCATTCAGAATTCACACAGCGCGTCGCGTTCGTTTGCGACACGACGACACTCTCTTCAAGGTCAATATTCCCATTATTATACTTTATTTGTAGATAAAGCATAAAGTAGATGGTTTTCATAAAATGACTTTATCTTGCTGGAGTGGAGTTTATTGCCCTTTCACATTCCCTTCTCCCGGGTGTATGTGAGATTACAGCATAGAGTCGAGAGAGTGCTATTGTTCTTCATGTGCACTGAAATTTAAAACTGTTAAAAGAAAAGGCTCAAAAAACTGTTGCATATAGAATACACTAAGCATTAGTGCTGCACGATTAATCAAATCGCAATCGTAATAGCGATCTCAAACCTATGCAATTATATAACGCAAAATGCCGCGATTTTATATGAAATAAACAAATTAGGGCTATTAACGCAGCATCTCTTCATTTTGTCATCCTTTGACTAGTGTTACACGATCCCGCTCTTATTCGTGCAAATGCCTTTTCGCATTTTGCACGACAAGAAGTGAAAAGCTGCCTGTGAATGCCCTAAATGAGACTCGCAGAAAGACGCGCGCCATAATGCGCATGCACTGACGCGTGCCAGAATACAGTTCTCTTTCGAGCTTAAACGAACAATAGCACACACAATTATGCCAAAATGTCGTTTTGTCGAGTATCTTCATAACGTAAGAAAAGTCTTATGGACGAAAAGAGTTGTGCTATGAGGCGCATGTGAGATCCGCGTCTCGGCAACGGGTTCTCTTAAAGCGCCAGCAGCGAATAAAGCGTTCTGTCAGTAAAGTTAAAAGAACAAAGGGAAATTAGAAAATTACTCACTGATCTTGACTAAAGAACTTTTGTAGCTTTAATAAGGATTATTCTATATATAATTTATAATTCATGCAGCGCAGACTGTTTGATAACTTTATTCAATTTCTGTATCCTACCTGTTAAGACAGGAAGGGCACAGGTAAATATGGTTTTTATTATGGGTTTATGTGGGGATTGTTTGAAGTTCACTTAATTTAAAAGTTGTTAAAAAATTTTTTTAGCCTAATAATTTTTTTTTAAAAGTTGATAGCTTTCACTGTAATGATGGTTTGGTTGGTTTATTGATCATTATAGGTGTTATCAATCATTTAGTTGTTGTTTTTAGTTTGAGTTGAGAAATAAACATTAATACACAGAATGATCACTAAGCTGTGTGTGCATTTTACTTTAGAACCAAGCAAGTTACTTTTTAAACTAAATAAATTTGTTAAAGACTACTTTTTTTTTTTACTAAAATTGATTAAACTTGAATAAAACCTTTTGGTGTTTTCGTCAACTAAAACTTGACTAAAACTATTAAGTTTATAAGTGACTAAAATGTGACTAAAACTTAAAAGCATTTGTCTAAAAGACTAAGACTAAGACTAAAAGGGCTGCCAAAAACAACACTGCAAGGTTGTACTTAAGTGCACTTCATGTGTATCTACATAACTTATCCATCTGAATTAACCCTTTAGGTTACAGCTTAAATACATGCAGTAGCTTCTTAATTACATTCAATTTACAAAATATTACACAGGGATAAGCTACGTAAAATAAAGTGAATCAAGATTGTACTTAAGTGTACTACATGTGCAACTACAAACCTAATCCATATAGACTTTAGTTTGAATTAAGGCCTGTTCACACCGGGACGAATTTCGCGCGCATTATTCGTCGACGTTTAACGCCTCGTGACTAAACAATGGGTGCCAATGTGAGTGTTCACACCGACGCGAAAAACGCCACGCGTAAAAGCGTCATTTTTAAAAAAACGTCTCGGGTTCGTTTTTTGGTTTGACGCGCCGCGTCAAAACCTATCCGACCAACGAGATCGGCGGGTTTGCTCACGTGTCTGGTACTTCTGAAGTTACAGTAAAACACAACTTGAGGGCGCTCAAACACAAAACGGTCTTGCCGAGCACACATACGGCGAAGAAGAGATAAGATACCTATGGGCAAGATGTTGAGCTGCTGGTCTCGGAGCACAAAGAGCTAAGATAATATTAATATTAGTATTTCTGTAATAATAGTATAGTATAGGGTGACCAACAGTCCTGTTTTCCCGGGACATGTGTAAAACGGTCACTTTGTGCTTTATAGAAATCTGAGTTGAGATGAGAACTGCGCATAGTGTGCGTAATGTCAGTTAGATTTTGACAAGTGAGGAGAGGAGAACAGCTCTGCCGACTCTTTATATTCTTTCTTTTATTTTATTTTTCTATTGTGACCAGATGTGTTTGTTTGTTTGTTTGTTTTCTCTCGCTCGATCCCCGTGTATGAAGAGGACGAGTGTGACGTTTGAGTGGATTTATTAAACGCGGGGAAATACGACAACTCTCGTCTCTCGTGCATCTGTTCATCCGACAACTGCTATGTTTTTATCTCTGGGCAACATCTCAACTTTGCGTTACACATGTCCTGTTTCCACGTCCTGTCCTGGCTGTTTTTAAGTGATGAAAATGTCCTGGCTTTCAAACAAAAACTGCTGGGAAAGATCAGTTCTACAGCAAAATATAGATGGGCAAACAAGGAAGAAAAACAAGATAAAGAGAATGAAAACTAAAGATATAAATAGATTTTGTTAGTTCGTTTTTGTAAGTTTGTGAGAGCTATTTTTTGTTACATTTGGAGGCATTTCTTTTAGTTATTTATTATTTAGGCCTATATATTTTTCTAATACAGAAGAAATTATTTCTATCATTATTTCATTCGTTTTTTTTTCTATCTGTCATAATAAAACATTGAGACATGAATATGATCACCCTAGTATAGTATTCTATTATTATTTCTGTTTTACATTAAGCGCATCTAATGTCAGGAAATGAATTTGCATGTTCATTCGGCTTATCGTCAGCGAATAACGCTTGGGTGTGAACACAAAAAACGTGTTGAAAAACGCTGACGAATAACGCGCGCTGATATTCGTCCCGGTGTGTACGGGCCTTTAGGCCTAACTCCCTCGTTAACAGCTTAAATGCATGCGGTAGCTTCCTAATTACATTGCAATTACATAATATTACACAGGGATAACCTACGTTAAATAAAGTATATCAAGACTGTACTTAAGTGCACTTCATGTGTATCTACATATCTTATACACATCAAGTACACTGAAGTACAATCTTGATACACTATTTTAGAAGGTACAAAATGACCATGTGTAACTGCAGGCTTTTTTCATAGTATCATCATTTGTTGCATTGAGTAGTACAAAGTACTTTCTTATATAATTACATTGCACCAAGTCGGTAACATGTATGTAACTGACTCGGCCTATTACATATGTTTAAAGGAGAACTCCGGTGCAAAATGAACCTTTGGTCTAATTACACATTGTAACCTAGTCAACCGTTATCTGAGATTTGTTTTCATGATTGCCGAATGTAAATAGTTTTATCTCTAAAAACAGTTTAGTCTATAACGCTAGTATAACACTAGTATATTGGGCATAGAGTAATGACAAATAAAATCGCTTGTTATTACCACTAACAAGGCTCAAAATAGCCCCACACTAACACGACAGCATAACAAGGGTCCCTACATTCAAACCGAAGCATTGAGAACTTTGTCAGTTTCCATACAGTTTAATAATAAGATATTTTATACACACAGTCAACTTCGCGAATACAGGAAGAAGCCATCTTAGAATAATTGGTAACAAAAATAAAAGAATAAGCATTATTAAAGAATTAGATTCTCGTGCCTTTAAAGTTAGGGATCAAGTGCGTAATCTTGGTGTTATGATAGACTCAGATCTTACATTTAATAGTCATATCAGAGCGGTCACCAAAACAGCATTCTATCATTTGAAAAATATTTCTAGAATTAAAGGATCGGTGCCTCAAAAAGACCTAGAAAGGCTTATCCACGCTTTTATTTCTAGTAGGGTGGACTACTGTGATGGCTTATTAACTGGACTTCCGAAGAAGACTGTAAAACAGCTGCAGCTTGTTCAGAACGCTGCCGCTAGATTATTAACTGGGACCAAGAGAATAGAGCACATCACTCCAGTTCTTAAAACTTTGCATTGGCTCCCAATTAACTATAGAATAGTCTTTAAAGTGATGCTTTTAGTCTATAAAGCACTGAATTGTTTAGGCCCTGAGTACATTTCCGAAATGTTTGAAAAATATAAACCTAACAGGACTCTTAGATCAATACACTCGGGTCAGTTAGTGGAGCACAGAGTTAGAACAAAATATGGAGAAGCTGCGTTTAGCATCTCTGCTGTACACGACTGGAACAAACTACCACAAGATATTAGATGTGCCCCGAATGTATTGATTTTTAAATCTAAGTTGAAAACTTTTCTTTTCTCACAAGCTTATGACTGAGATCTTAAAATTAGCTATACTGTGTAGTTTTAAATTTGTCTATTTATTTTTTATTAAATCTTTATTATCTTTTTTTGTGCATGTTTTGTATCTGGTATTTTTTCATGATGTTTTTACGTTCTGTAAAGCACATTGAAGTACTTTGATGGAGTGAATTGTGCTATATAAATAAACTTGTTGTTGTTGTTGTTGTAATAGTCTCTACCAGTCGATCTACGAACGCCAATCATTACTCTATGCCCTATATGCTAGCGTTATACTAGTGTTATAGGCTAAACTGTTTTTAGAGATAAAACTATTTACATTCGGCAATCATGAAAACAAATCTCAGATAACGGTTGACTAGGTAACAATGTGTAATTAGACCAAAGGTTCATTTTGCACCGGAGTTCTCCTTTTACAGTAGCTGCCTATTACATGAGTGTAATTACAATCTTACATGAGTGTAATTACAAGTAGAGATGGTTCCAAAACTTAGTTACATGTTAATTACATTTTTTTTACATGTTATTACAATGTCTACTACCAAGTAATTAATTAAGTAATTACACTATCACAGACACCGTCAAATAAAGTGTTACCGAAAAATTAAATTTAATTTCTTTATTCAATAACATATTTGTTTATTAGAAATATTAAACATTCATAAAAAATGTGTTTTCCTACCTGGAAGATCCCAAGAAGATTGTCTTTAAAATTCTCGTGGTTCCTGTGGGTCTGAAGGTCTGAGTCTAATGTCTCATATTGAAGCCTGTAATCATAATATACTCACATAATATACTCACAATAAAAGTAATCACAAAAAATACTAACCGATATTTTACAGAAAGATAAATAAGCATTAGCTGTGAATACTCTGACAAATATTTGATCTAAACATGTTTTATGATTGGTATTCACTGATACATCTTGCTGTACAATGCATGACAAAAAAAAAACCGATTAACACAAAATACCTTTTATTAGATGCTGGTGTTTTCTCACTGACGTTTGGTCCTTCACCTTTAGAGTGATCACTCTTCAGAGACACAGAGCTGGACACATGTGAGCCTGATCTTACACTGATGACACAAAGAACAGAGAGAGAGAGAAAACACTTTAGTAAAGCAGGATCAACTGTGTCTGAAACACACCTGTATCTTTATCTAATCCTCCACAGAAACACACACACTCAAACAATTTACAGTTTTATAGTTAACCATCTATCAATAATTTTATAATCTAAATACTAAAGTAATTTATTTGGATTAATTCAGTGTCTAGAAGGTTATTAACAAATTATTAAAGGGTAACTAATAGGGTTGTGCCGATAGACGATAGTCTGAGATATCGCCGATGGCAGATGCCTTTGACGATATCAATATGATAATTGGCTCGTTTTACCATAATGTGTTAAATTATTATTATTAGGCCTATTATTATTATTATTATAAAGCTAGTATTGTTATTAAATTAATATTAGGAACTACAATTAATTTGCCTTGCCTAAATTTACAACAAAATCACCTCATAACAATTGAAGAGTTTGGTTCCAATACGCTATAAATCCATTTTGATCAATTTGAGTAAAACTATGTTTTCTTTAGCAAGAAAATGGGAAGATGAAAACAACTATTTTCTGTTTCAAATTTTCACATAGCATTTGTAGGTTATAATAACAATAAAAAATTAAATCCAGGTTTTGATTTTCAATGATTTATTATATAAACGGTTTTTTTTTCACCAAAATGCAATAAATCCATTATTTATTTATTTTTTCAAAATTAATCAATTATTAAGCAATTAATCAAAATTAAATTGTATACACATTGAATTTGTTTTCTTGTGCATATAAATCCATTGCTTTATTATAAAATCATGTGCAAAACTGTTCAAAATAGAACTGTAAAGAAGATTTAAAACTGATTTGCCCATGACACCTCTAGACTACAGAAAATTACATTAATATTTCAGACATCTTTGTTGTATTGATTGTCTTGTGCATACTATTTCTTCATCAATTAATATAATATATTAATATAACAATATTCAGTAACACTTTACGGTAAGGGTACATGTCATGAATTATCATGAATTCATGTATAAATGAATGCATGAACTATGCATTCATTCATACATTAATATCACCAGGAACTAACAACGTTTTTTTAACAGTTCAACGTTTTTTTCATTCAGGACTTCATGGATGAAAAACTCCTTAATTAAAACATTAACGTTAACTAAGATGAGCACATCATCATGAATTATGATTTATTAAGCATGATCTAACGTTAGTCCTGCATATCGCTGTTGTCAACATTGGGACGTCGCATCTGAAGTTTTTTGACGGCGATCAGCTGTAAAATGGTTTGGTCCTGCTCGGTTTTCGTTGACATTGAATAAAACAACCGAAAGTTTTTCAAAAGATTCCCTGATGTCAGTGTGTCAGCGTGACAGAAGTTTGACGCGGTCGTGTGAGAACAAGCAACAGCCTGTAGTTAAAGCGCTGCCGTGGTGCTTTGTGATTGGTTGAGCGGATGTATTTTGCAGAAAAAGAGACTGGCGTTTGTCGGGATTATTAAAAGAAATTATTAAAACGTGTTTTCATCTCGTGCAGAAATAGGCCCTAGTCAAAATACTGCATGTAACGGCATGAGGATAGGCTAATGTGTCTGTAAATTTCCCGTTGACAAACAAAAGGATTAGGATCTTTTTTTTTACCTCACTATTATACCAGGAAATAACCTGATCCTATTAATAAACACTCAACCTTTGCTAGCAAAATAGATTATCGTATATAAAACGAAGTAGGCTAATAAAACAAGCAAATTAATGAGTAGGCTAAATAATCAAGTTAATAATTAAATAAGTTAGCCCCGCCTCCTCACGATAATATCGTGTATCGCCGATCTCACAGGCTGACAATAGGACGATATGAAAATGGAGTATATCGCCCAACACTAGTAATTAAACCCTAAACCAACTTTTTTTAGTTAATTATCTGTAAGAATGGGGCTTTTTTAATGCTGATCATTGATTCGAGTAACTCTTTTGACATTTTTGTGTAGTGTTTTATTTCTACAATATATGGAGTAAAAACATCTTAGTGCTGCCCTCTTCAGGTTGAACGGTGGCTACTGAGAGTTGAATTTTCCTATTAGATGTTTGCGGTTCTTCGTGACGTACGCAGCTACCACACCCTCGGCAGTTTTAAAAATCATCTTGTTTCGTCAAAACCACTGTGAGTCAAGAGTTGGAATGATTTTTTGACAGGGCTGGTTTGTGCACATTCCAGGATATCCAAGCAGAATACAGCCTACCTGTCTTTTCTTTTTTCTTGTACCTGAGGTTGCGATCTGCTATGAAAGCTTATGGCGTGCCATGGAATTCTGTTTTGGCAGACCACCCAATGTTTAACTGGATTAATCCTGTCAAAGATCCTAGTGGGGCGGTCTCAGTAATCTATAACTCTTTACTCAGTAGTGTTCACAAGCCTTTAAAGATACTATCAAAGTGGGATTTGGAACTTTCTTGGATAGAATTCCATCCAGACTGGGACACAAACCTTGGCCTTACCTCTAAAAACCTTAGTCATGTACTTATTCATTTTAAGACTATCCATCGTTTCTATTATACACCTTACAAGCGATATTGCATGAAACATATACCCAATCCATACTGCAGCTCCTGTAACCATGGCGCCACTGGCACATTTTTACATATGTTTTGGGACTATCCAATGATTCAACCATTCTACCAATTTTCTTTCCGCGACAAAAAAGTTTTGATGGCAGGGTTCAAAGCTGCAAAGAAAGCTATTTTGCAGCAGTGGATAACCCTAGATACAAATTTGAAGCAATTTTGGATAGTCTCATTTCATTACATAGTTTGCCTTGAGTGTACAACTGCAAGGATCAATAAGGTAAAGTCGACCACTGTAAACACCTGGATGAATATAGAATATCTGCCCTTAAAGAGCTTCTTTGAATATTCTACAGTTAATAAGTTAGCTGCCAGTGTTTAAGTTGTGTTCTGTGTGTATGGTTGTTGTGTTTTGGGTTTTTTTCCCCTAAATGTATCTCTATTCTCATCTCTGTATGATATGGGTTGTTTATTGATTAAAAATAAAAATCATAATCTCAAAAAAAAAATGTTGGAATGATGAGTATTGAAAATGATCAGGATAGAGTATTGTAGCATCTATTTAGCATAGCATTTATATAGTTATTTCGATTATTTTGTGTAGCCTAGTTAGTTAGTAGCATAGTACAGTTAGGATAGCTTCAAGTTAGTGTAGATTTATCTGTGTTTAGTACAGTGATCAGGATGGTAACGGACATGCACCACACAGCTCACGCTGAAAAGCGACACACGCCAAACACTGCTCCTTCTGCATGGACTCCACCACCGCAGCGGTGTCTTGATGTGAGTGATCATGTATATTTTAATCACAATGTATGGTTAGGCTAAAGTTAATCCTTTGGGGTCGACAAATGCGCTGTGAATTTTTTCACATAATATCAAAATATCAATATGAATATATGCCTACAGAGCACGCGGCTATTAACATCAACTCGACAGAACTCATCCGATGCCGGTCGCAAAGCGGGAGTTAAAGACCGCAGTTTGAGCCAGCGGCTGGAATTGATATCGCCCTGTGTCCACAGACAATTCACCCTCCTCCTCTTCAGGTGAAGGTGGGGGAGAAAAGTCCTGGACTTCAAATGACCGCTCTGTTGCAAAGCTACTTGCGTCACTCCAGACGCTCTCCATGTTAGAGTCTGACAGCCGCTGTCACTCACTGCGGGTCTCTGATGCAGGCCCGCTCAGCCCCGCCCTCGGTTCCTCCCCTTTATCTCCGCTGGGGTCTGCCCATTTTTTCAGCATTTGTCAAATATTGCCAGTGGGTGGAGTCAGGCTTTGACCAGGGGTTTAGTTACCCTTTAACTGTGATATTTTCTATTGACCAAACAGGGCTTCATAGACAAAGCTAGAGTTAATTTAAGAAGTTTAAAATTGAAGTTGGTCAAAGCATTTGCAAATATAGAGCAATGCTTAAAGTTGTGTTATTGAAACACAAAGTCCAGTGGAGTTTAAAGTGAGAGTGTGAAAACAGACGCAGTCTCACCTGTGTTTCTCTGAGAGACTCATCTGAGAGAGAGAGTCCTTTCCTCTTTCCTCTGACATACTGCAGCTAAACTGACCCTGAAAACTGATCAGAAAACCTTCAATCCTTCAGCATCACCTGCAAATCACAACATTTACACACATCAACAACATCTTATTGAAGAATAAAGACTTATCATCAACAACAGCAAAAACTATGTAGCAAATAAAGTGAGTTACAAACAAATATATTGCCATGTAAAATAACTGAATGGTCTTAATCATTTCTGATTGTTTACTGAGTTTAACTGACTCTAAATATGAATTCATTGGGGAACAGAAATGTACACTGTGCTGGAAACTGAACCCAATTTGTTATATTCTCTATTACAGTATAATATATTACAATCATATTTACCTGTATTATAATTATATCTTATCTGTATTATTGTTGAATCGTTTACCATTCAATCATTACTTCATGTTCACAATAACTGATTAGTAAAAGTACCCTGAATTATAATAGACATACTATAATACTATTAATCATAATTGCTATGAACTGAAATATTCAGTTTAATAACAGCAGATTGTTGGTGATTGTCGTTAGGCTTCATCTGTCTGTCTACTGTAAATGTCTGCTTCAAAAATACTTTCGATTACACATCACACAAACAACAGCCTAACACGGAAGAGGAAATGGGAGAAAACTTTCAAAAACATATTCGTGTTGAATAAACATTTCTCAAAAAAACATTTGTGTTTTTACCTCAAAAGTTTGTAAATTCTGGCAGATTCTTCTTCTGTTCGGAGTAGCAGAAAAACAGCCTTCTGTAACTTCACATTTAAATTTCGCTTAATAAACAAAATGCAGTTCCTAAATTATATAAAATGACTGTAATGGAGAATGTATTAAACTTACTTGCGGTCTTGTCCACTAAGAAGAGAGTTCATCAGTATTTTAAACTCAGTAACG